ACTAAATGAATACAAAGCTAATGGCGTTCAGCAAAGGCAAATAGTTTCTTTCTGCAATTTGCTATGTAAACAGAGAAGAACCTTACATAAATTCATCCTTCATAATATTTCATTCTATTCGAATACAGTCAATCAGTCATATCCGACCACACTGTGACCTTATCGAAACTGATCTGATTTATTCAGTCGGCGATATTCCCGCTGAATTACAAATTTTTTGTCAATGAATTTACCTAAATAATAATTACGCAGGTATTTAGGTACAATCAACAACTACCAACAGAGCTCCTCCGGTGCCGCCTCGACGCCAATCGAATATGCCCTTACCTGAGCCTAAAACAAGTACCTCACAAGGCAATCAGAATTCGTTAGTGTTTACTCCGTACTCTCTTGAAATTGCTGTTCCATTTCCCGATTCATCTTCATCATGAACAGAAAATTATCATTCATTATATTTGCTTTGAGTGTATCTCAAATTTATTTCATCCCCATCAAGCAGTCCCAATTTCAATCTGATATTTTGAGCTTTCTTCAGTTCTTCTTTTCTGTCCGTTCATGATAACCGCCTGATCAAACCCATATTTGTTGTGCATGCGCGATGGCAATTGTTATCATTGATTTGAAAATATTCATGAATCACTTTTATGCCAACACTCGATTGCTTCTGAAGAAGTTTGAGATCTGTGAAACATTTACTGGGATTCTTCGTGCAACAATCATCAGTTTCAAAATCGTAAAACGGTCACTCACTGATCACAGTCAAGAGTCAAGATGAAAAGCCACTGGTCAAAGTCGTAAGCGATACCTCGTTTGCACAAATGATATTTTCAGGAGTGAATCCACCGTTCCAGAATGCGTAGAAAAGAGCTCAGGTTCGCAGCAAGCATCAAACACTGGCGAACGATCACCGGAAGAAGGCAATCGCAGAGAAGCGCTTACTGGTGACACGACAAATACAGTGCTCGATGACTTTGATCATAATGACTTTGAAGACGTTGATTTGAATCATTAGTGGACTGACTCATTTTGCAATTCAGCATGAAACAAAATGGAGTCATATTGAAAATTTCAATTGTATTGCAGCAGAATCAGTGCGCTTACACGTGATCATTGAATGTGACTTCCACGTTTTGAACGATTCGGAGAAGAGGCGGGCGATTAAATCTTCGCTCGAAACTGTCGTTTGATGATCCATCCCAGCGGCTGGATAATTGAGTGGAGTATTAGAAGTGGCACAAAAAACATTCATTGCTCCCGTGGATTTTTGAAATATTAGTGGTTTTGTGTTGGCTTCGATTAGTCAATGCAAAAATTCACTGAAAACGTTCCACACTCGCTTGAATTCTAATAAACACTGGCGCAAAGCGCTCGAATTTCTGACTGGTGAGTACACTAGTAAATTGAACATTGCTCCTTGTTGCTCGATTTTCGAGCTGTTTTTCTTCAACTTCTGATGGTGCAAGTAAAGGTGGTTTTCGCTCCATTGCGGGAAAGTAATTTCGTGATAATGCAGCTAGATCTTGAGCTGCGCGAGCTGTCCGAACGTTTTGGTAGAGTATTGAACGCGCAATGCCATCGAGCGTTCCTCGTCGTCGTTGTTGTTCACTTGTTGCATTTTTGCCTCCGGATTTTGACTTGAAGATCGTAATAAGAAAGACTGGTTAGACCGTGTTTAGCTTCGTTGCTCCTCACATCGATGAGGATATTATGTACATAATCTTGCTGTTGTTATTCATTAAAGTTGAATGAAATGCGTCGTTAGTTGCATTTGAAATGCTGNGCATATTATTATATCCATTCTACACATCAGAACGTCACGAAAGCGACATTCTGATTTGCAGAATCCTATGCGTACACCAAATAAAGTTCGATAATCTTTATTGTGTTAAGTAATGAAGTTAAGCTTCCCGGGTGTACTTAAGATTCACAACTCGCAATCTGCCCTTAAAGATTCACAGTTGGTTCAGAAAGCCATAGCTTTGAACGCTTCACATGATCAAAACCACATCAAATTGACAGTATTTCCCAAATGTTCCATGAGTACTTGAGCGCAAGGTTATTCGAATACACATAAAAACGCATAAAGTATATTTACGTTTCGATAAGATTCTGAAGAAAAACAGTGCAATGATATTTTGCGTTTCATTCGGCTTCAGCCATTCTATTCAGCAACGATTCCTTAGTAACATAGCAGAATCAGCTACATGATGCGGAAGTGGAACTGTTGGAAATGATACCTTGATCAGTAGTGAATGATGCCCTATTTCCCTGAAGCAACCGATATTCTTCCACAAAATCAACTATTTCACTGAAGGTAAGCAAAACTGCCCGGCAAGAATACACTTTTCTGAAAGTAAAGAATCTGGGGAATCTGATAATGTGCAGAAACCATCATGTTACTGGGAAAACCTGAGGAAACAAGCTGTTTGAAAATGGTAACCCTCATACTGCCGTGTTAATGAATGTGCTGATCAAAAGAGATAGAGTGCGCTGAAATTAAAGGTGCCAATACCTTCAGAAAATCAGCTGTTTCTCTGAATGTAGGCGAGGTTGTTCGCGAACAAATGCTATCGACGAGAAAACACTATTCGATATAACATTATCGGACAGCGTGAAATTCGTTCCCAAGATCATAACTGACAACACCACACGAGGATGGCGAAGAAAATGTGATGCAAATATATTTAAAATGTAATGTCGTTGACGTCGACGTAAATATTTCAATTGGACAACGGATAATACAACGATAATAAGTTAGGTAACGAACAATAGAGACAAGAGGGCCTTAAAAGTTATTTTCAGTTCTATTAAAGGCGTTATTGTTCGTTTGCGACTCTCTGATCCATTCGGGGAACGGGATAAGGAAGTTGGTTTGGCTGAAAATATGACCGATGTGGTCGTTGATGATAGAATGGATGTACGGATGCTAGAAAGATTGTTGAAGGACGATAGGATGCTGATGCAGCTGCTGAAGATGAGCATCCACATTTGAACATTCGACCTCTCAATGACCTGGAAGACATTTCGGTTTCAGTTTCTGCANTTTGAGAATATTGACATTTGTGACAGATAAATTTGTGAATTTAGTGAGAATACAAGTTATCACTTCCCGGGAAGGAAAGGAAAAAATAATTAATTCGACGCTACAGTTTTACGCTAGCGTCAATTTTCATGAATTTCAAGTGGCTTCTTGAAATTTCTTTGGCAATTATAAGGCACTAAGATGTCGTATTTGTAGAATTTAGTTCCGTTTGAGATGACTTTTGCTATCAAAAATGCAACGATAGTAACGAGGTGACACATGTAAATGAAATGAAACTCACGCATTGAAGATTAAATAAATAAAGGGATTTGTACCGTTCCAAACAACCCACAACATCGTATGCGCGTTGTTGAGATAAAGCGATGGTTCAAAACATCGGTCAATAATCTCGGAGAACGCCAAATCAACGACCTTGTAAACAAACACGATTGCAGTTTGCGATGTGAGTGCCTTCTCGCACATTTTCCGTGAGTCGTTGTTTTTCTTAAAACACTTTCATTCGGAAAATTTTACACTGCCATTAGCATTTTCTGTCTCGATCATAACTGTAACATTCAAGCATCAAGACTGATGAAACGTATGCCGTATCGTTCGTCGTTTGCCAAATGCACAAGGATCGTTTCATGCATACACATGAAATCCTTACGGCAATACGCTCAGGATAATTCTCATTAATTCAATTATTGTGCACGCAATTCGTAACAGTTGAAATGCGACAAAGAAACATTCTGAAAGTTACCATCGTGTTCAAATAGATGATAATGTAGACGTTAACAATGAAGCCCACAAAGACGTTCAACATACACGCATAACGATTGAACCATGATATGTCCTTTCCTGTTGGTTGATACACATCAAATGTCCATTTCATGATCTGCAGTTACCGTATTTCACTTATGCGCATTCTTAGCATTATTGTCAACTTGTACTACCATAAAAGAATTTTGGTCGTATGAAATCACTTCTTTCAATTATTTTCACTGCTTTCAATTACTTGTTGCACGCAATACACTTCACCGTGTGGAGTCATTAGATTATTTTTGAATAATCACGCAATTCTCTTTTTCATATACAATCAACTGAATAATTGCAGCAGGTTATGCAGTCGTTAATGACGAATGCTTTTATGAGTGAACAATATGAGAGATGGATGCATGATTCGTTGGTTGATTACCCGTGGATCGTAGTAGAACGTTGAAAACGGCGAACAATAGAGAAGGAATAGAAGCGCATAAACTGACCACATGAAAGCGATATATTTCTGAAAAAAAAGCACATTTGAACTATGAACATGCGGAGTGCACAAATATTCAGTATTGCAAAATTGGAATTTTGTATTATTTGTTTGATGAGAATAGCAGCCGAATGAGTCAAAAAATGGTAAGAAAACGATTACTAGCAAATACTCACGTCAACCATACGTTTCGTCAACAAAATATACAAATATTTTGGACGAATGACCCTTACGAATCGATCAACAGTGATCAACAATGTGGCTATTTCGAGCGGGTTCCAGGCTGCGTTGAATATCGCACCAACCACCTGAAAAAGATCGCACCCTTTTTCCCTAGCTGTTATTTGACACATTTAATCGTTCGAGAAAATCGCTCAAAGAAGTTTTCGCATGACTCATCAACTGTTCGCAGATGCATTTGCTATGACTCTGAAAAAATTGGTGATGATTCTGAAAACTATTAACAATAAACTGTTAACAAATTATTACCGAGACTTCGATGAGATCTCATCAACTTCTTATGTTCACATTATGTGTTCGTGATTACCTTTCATCGAACATCCTTGCGTTAATATTTCACTTTTATGTTGCGCAATCCGAGCAACTGGAGTTATTTTTGCTTGATCCTGACTGAGTGTCTTTCCGATGAAACATCAACCAATCAACTGATTGCAATGTAAAGAGTTCGAGCAAAGTATAGGACCAGCTCAAACTAACTTCACCTTCCGCGTCACTACGTGTTGTCGATGATTCGGTTAATATCACCATTATATCGGTGCAGTTTTATCGTTCTTTTTTATTCTCATTCGTGCCTCA